ATTGGGATACCAACCCAAACGTTAAAAACAAAATCAAATCCATAATCTAAATTTAAGAGATAGACGATCCACGTTGTGATACCAAAAATACATACAAGATGCATTGTGATACCCAATGTAGTACCAATTAGGGTACCACTATGATACCACTCACACCAGTTATATTACCACTATGATACTAAACCTTAATACACAAAATCTTCGATTTCTAACCACCGATTTTACCAAAAAGAAACGTTGTAGACCTTTAATATCGGTAATTTTCTTTCATGTAGAATCTTCAATTTTTCGATATTTCATATCTGTATTTTTCGGAAATTTTCTTTGATGCGGACCTTCGATATCTGGATGTTCTCAGATCTAATATCGATGATGATTAGAGATGCATACCTTTGATATTTGGATATTTTCGGATATGATTTTGATGGAGACGGAGATCTAGATTCGTTCAAGATCTCAATCGGATGTCGGCTCCTTCTTGGCCAATGACCGACAAGAATCATCCCTGTGTTCGAGTTTCAACGTATATCAAATTAAAAAGCATGGATTGATAGTGAAAACTTTGAATCCAAAATTCAAATCAAAACCCAAACCAAAAAGTAAATCAAAACCATAAAAGATGGAGATGGAGGTTTTAAATTTTTTGAAGAACATTAGAATTACAGTAAACTCAAATGATGTAGATAGAACTTGGAGACAATAAGATGGAGATAGTGAGAGCCAAGTTGCTCCCATCTTTGAACAAGATCCCCTCTTACACTTCTCACCTTTTCACCTTAACTTCCTTTTCACCGAGACCCAACCCTATATATATATATATATATATATATATAGGGTTGGGTTCACGTGAGACCAGCCTGTTTTCGTGAGACCCGTGAGACCACATTTTTACACATAAACTTCACAGCAAAAAYGCTGTGAAGGTTTAAAAAAAGTCGAACCTTCACAGCAAAAACACTGTGAAGGTTTTAAAAAGTTACCTTCATAGCATTTTGCTGTGAAGTTTCAAGTGTAAAATGCTGGTCTCACGGGTCTCACGAAAACAGACTGGTCTCACATGATCCCAAGTCTATATATATATATATATATATGAAACGGTTGTGTTTCGGTAAGAAGGAAAATTATGGTGAAAAGCGTAAAAAGAGATCTCTACCCTATGGATCAATCCTAATTGAATGTCAACACTAATGGAGTGCACCAAATAAATTCTTTTCTAAATCACAAATCATGGGTGGGTTTTAGATTAAAACGGGTCAAGCGCTCAAATTTCTTCTTACTCTTATTACCATAACTCTCCTTCTCACATGATCCTTTGCCTCAAATAAGAACCATAAAAAAGTTAAAGATTTTATGATAACCGAAACAAAATTATTTTTATATGACTCTTTTTCATCAAAGGCTGTAATATAAAATATTGTTTCATACATGTTTTTATTCATCTTGTGAAAACAATACATGTGAATTTTTTTTTCATTGACTTAGTGAAACTAAAAGAACACGTAATTAAAAGGGTCGCATGGTAAAACACATACATATGAAACTATACATTATAAAAACAAATTAATAAAATATAAATATTTAAAAAAAATATTTAATTGAAAATAATAGAAGAGAGGCAACAAGGAGTGAATGGGCATAGGAGGAAAGGGCCCCGACACACTATGAAGGGGCAACATCATGAGGTTGGGGAAGGGAAAAGAGTTTTGGAGTTATGTCATATAAATCATAAAAGCATTACATTAAATAAAATACCTACCACTGAAATAAATGTTACCTCGTCATTGCCACCTCAAATCTCCGACCAAAATCGTACAAGTTGAATCATCAAATATGGTTGAGATCTAGGAAACATAAATGAGACGAGACCTTGCATGACTATGATTTTGTTTCGAACCAAAAGAACCGAGACTAAACTCTTATAGAAGATTGATGTTGCTGGGAAAAACGACGAAGTTGTTCCATGACTACTATGCTTCAAACTGACTAAAGATAAACATAAGGGTGGTGTCTGATTGGTTTGAGCTTGGCTGCAAAGGTCAAAAGTACCAGGAGGTCACAAGTTCAAATCCAAGGAGGAATAAAAATCCCCTTGTGGCTACGAAGGTTCAAATGCGATGATTCTGGGCTATCTGCAAAGTAGGTGGTTGCCTTGGGATTAGTCGGCTCGCATAGCAGGTTCGATATCCAGGTTAATCAAAAAAAAAAAAAAACTGACTAAAGATGAATGGAGAAGCCGAAGAGCTATGCGATGATTATCAAGATAGAGATGTTGGGAAAACTAGAGACGGATCTAAATTTTTTTCATATTGCTGATATAAAACATTTTTTTGTAAAATAAACGTATACATAAAATAAATATTAATTATAGTTATAAAATACCTAAGGAAAAAAATCTAATTTGAATGATTTACAATCAGGATTTCTGTGCTCCAACATTATTAACTGATAAAACACAATTAAAGCTTTGATGTATTATGATGGTCTCTCCATTTTTTTGGCAACAATTCCCGTATCGTAGCATACATGGATACACAATGGTATCGTTGTGCAACTTTTTTCGTACTGTGATGAAACGATTTAGAGGTGGCACATGATTCAACTAGCTTCTACATAAACCTATAGCTTGAGATAATCGTTAATACGTTGGTCTAACGATGGCGTTTGTCAATATGCCCATCAGTTAAGAGTTATGCTCAAAATGAGAGCATTCATAGTGATGATTCTTGTCACAGTTCTTGAAAAGATTTATAAAATAACTTCAATTATGACTCACAAAATTTTATCGTATATAACCAATCTTTTGTTTTATTTCTTGTATTATATTGTTTTTTAATGAGCTTATTATTTTTCATTTCATAAATTTATGAAACATATTTATATAAATTGAAAAAAAATAAAAATAAAATGCGTAAATAAATGATTTTAAAGTATATTTATTACTTTTTGTTTATCGTAGATCTTTGTACAAGTTTTATTTATTCTTTTTTAATGAGTTTAATTTTTAAATAAACAAAGATATTTATATAGTTTTTCATAAATAAATAAAGTAAACATTTAATTATCTCGAATTCTTATGTTGGTGTTTAGTTTAACTTTCAAATAACTATAAGTATATAAATTCAAATAAATATAAAAAATATAAATTAATAAGTAAAAATATATTTAAATTACGAAAAATAAAATACAACATTATGGGCTAAAATAGAGGACTATGTTTATTAGTTTTTCACATCCTCCACTTCAAACTCTGAAAAAGAGAACATCAACAAGATTGAACTCTTATTGAGGCCATTATGTTCAAATCCCTCCTCGTCCACAACCGGCCCAAAAGGGAAGGGGCGCGAGATAACTCTCTCTAAGAAACTCGGCAAAATATATAACCTCGTAACTTCGGGATAATAGAATTATACTGAAGTTGTATGTAGATTTATAGATATGACATGCATTTCTTTTTGGGATCTACAGATCACGTAATGTCATCAACGTACTTGGTGAATCTAGTTTGTTTAATAATGGGTTACGAGAAGAGGTACAACCGATAAACTTTATATTAAATGGTACACATTATGCTTAATGATGTTATCTAACTGATGCATTTAAAATAAGCCATTTCGTCAAAAGTTTTCCTTGCATTCAAGATGAAAAGAGAAAATTATTCAAACGACGACAATATGCATGCAAGAAAGGATGTTGAACTTGCATTCAGAATTTTGGAGCGCTACAATCTCGTTGGGCAACGATCTATCACAAATATGAAATAAGGAACAATTAAAGATATGCATCATGCATAATTTTGCATAATATAGTTGTCGAAGATAAAGATAACATGTTGATCAGTTGGGTCAATGATAAGGTAGATGATTCGACATAAATATTACAAGGTTCTACCGGCGAATTCCAGATATATTTTCACAGAAATCTCAAAATACGTTAAAATAAAGTTTATCATCAACTTCATCCCAAGTTGGTGACACATATTTGGTCGAATGGTAATTACAAGTGATCTATGTTGTTATGTAATACTTACTGATACTTTTTATTAAGTTAAACAAGTGATTTATATCATTTATTTATTATTTAATATTACTTTATATTAAATTAAATATTTTTGTAGTATCATATTTTTTATTCTAGTATAAATTAGGTTTATTTTTTAAATATGTTATTAAAATATATAAAGTATAAAATTAATATTAATATGAAAGGTATAAATTAATAATAATATTTTATGAAGTTGTATTGATGATTAAGGTATTACTATAAGTGTGATGAATACATTTATCTATTTATTAGTAATCACAATTTTTTCATGTTTAATCTGGATATCTAATTTGCTATGTAAGCCAACTATCCCAGGGTGACTACCCGCTTCACGACTAACCCAGAGTCACCACATTTGAAACTTGGTGGCCACAAGAGATTTTATTTCCTTATTAGATTCGAACTTGGGACCTCTAGGCACTTTTGAACTTTGGAGCCCAAGGTTAAACCAATCGGGCGCTACCCTTATTAATTTCATTTCATTAATTTTGTACAAATTCGGAAGTTGATGTAAATACCTCAGTTAACGTTTTGAATTTAAGTAGCGATATATATATCTTCAAGATTGTAATGCTCTAATACTTAAAGGTTGTTGATTACAACACTAGTTTTTAGAGTATGAAATACTATACATTTGACATAGTTCATGTGGTTATGTTTGCATTATCATGATTACGGAAGTCTGCACAATATCATTGTGTAGTTAACTGTGTAGTCTGATACCACAAATTTTGATGGACAAAACTTTAAAGGATCAAGTGAGAAATGATAAATCTTGTATACTCTTTAGATTGGTTGATTTGTTAACTTACTTTTAGTAAATTGTCTTGTTCAGTGGAAGATTGTTAGAACTCTAATAAAGTTGAATGATAGTGCTTCTATGAGTCTTTGAACGCGCCACTTTTGTATCCACACACTGTCTTGACATTATGTTTATCTTGAGAAAGCAAGACTGCTCCCTAGTATTCATCACTTGCATCGGTCTGCAAGATTCGCTTGTCGGTAGCAGTGGGAATCTTTAAAGGGGGCATCACATCAGCTAGTTGCTTTATTGCTTTTACAGCTAGTGTCTGTTTGTCAGTCCATGGTGGGGAATCTTTCTTTAGCATAGGGAACAAGTGCACTGTATGACTTGACAGCTTCGATAAGAAATCAGCCATATAATTGATGAGACCAAGAAATTGTTGGATTTCCTTTTGTGACGTCAGCTTGTCTGGGAATTTGCGCAATTCTTGGGCAACATGGGGCTGTGGCTGATACGTACCGTCTGAAATTTTCATTCCAAGGAAATCAATGAAGTCAACACCAATTTCCATTTTCTTTTTTCAGAGAGCATGACGCCATACTATGTTACTATGGAATGAAACTGTGAAAGCAAGTCTACATGCGACTTTCTATTCGGAGAGAATAAGAGGATATCATCAATGTATACCAGAGTATTATGGAGAATGGGTTCAAATATTTTTACCATACCCTTTTGAAAAGCTGATGGAGCATTTTTTTAACCCGAACGACATCACCTTCCACTGGTAATGATGATCTGGAATATAGAAGGCAGTTTTTGCCCTATCTTCAGGAGTTATGCCAAGTTGCCAAAATCCGGCTTTTAGATCAAACTTAGATAGTAATCTTGCATCTGCTAGGGATTGGAACAACGACTTCTTTTGGGAAAGAGGGAACTTATCATCGACCAAGAAGTGATTAAGAGGCTGATAATTTATCACCAATCTTAGTTTACCACGAACTTGTTCACTCCTCTTGTTGACATAAAACACTTCGCATGCCCATGGTGATGTAGTCGGCTCTATTATCCCTTGATCAACGAGTTCTAAGCATCCTCGAACTGCAAGTTGATAATAGTCAGGATTCATAATGAAGGGTTTAACCATGGGAGGGTAACAAAGAATGAAGGGTTTAACCATAATGGGTTTTTATTTTATGTGAGGAACTCGGTATGGTTAGAGGCACAAGAAGTCTGGATAATTTTTTGTTTGAGAGTTTCCATGGTAAGAGTAGAGGTCATATAGAGCCTTTGGATTGGACTCCAAGGATTTAGAAAACTCTTATAACGTAGACCTTGTTCTGCATATCTCAGACCTGGTAGTGTATGGAGGATATCGAACTCAATCAGTAGATCATTTCCATGTAAATTTGATCATAACAATCTGGTTTTTATGACGCACTTGGGAAAGAGCCTAATGTATATCGGGATACTTATCATGTCAATGGTGAATGTATCACCATTGGCTGCTAAGAAGTGCTGATGATGCGGTTTCAAGTAATTACTAGGCAGGATGTCATGATTTAATATCGAAATTGAGGATCCTATATCAAAGAATGCAATAACTGGAATGGGTTTGGCATATGTGGAAGTAAGCAGGTGGACTTTTGCTAGTGGTACTGGTTGCGCCTTTTGTAAGGGTAGTGTCTGAGGGGTAATGGGGTTTTAAGTAGGGAGAGAAATATGAGGAAGTGGAAGAGGTTTTGCCATAAATACTCCGATATCAGAATATCCTTCTGAATAGTCTGAGTCTGAGTTGTACTCTTCTTCCGATGACGAATCAAAATAGGCAATCATGCATATCGTATGATCCGCTGGTTCATCATCAAAGGAGTATAAAGATTCAAGATCAGAAAGATCGACTGGTTCAATCTTGCTGAGTGTTTGAATTAGTGCTTGAGACTTCTTCTTATCTTTACAATCCTTGGCGAAGTGTCCTCTTCTATGGCAGATGTATTATTTGTTAGTGGTTTTTCCTTGTTGTGATTTCTTTCTCATGAATTTCTACTTCTTCCTTAGAGAGAACGAATTTCTCCTTTTGAAGGAACTATGGGTGCTTGATCCTCTGAACTTCTTAAATGAGACTTCTTCCTTTTATGAGAATATTCACAATCGGATTTGTCTTTGCATTTTATTCGGAGGTATTTTTCATCACAGGCTGCCCCAAGTCGCTTACCCGTTTTTTCAATGTCTGATAAGAATCTTTTTTGGTTGCAGAGTTTGGTGAGGGCGTTGAGTATCAATTGATAAAGCCCACCAAGTGAGGTTTGTGCGACTGAGACGTTTTTTGATTCTAGGAACATGTTTACCTCATTTGCAAGGGACTCTGGGAAGGAGTTTATGAAGACATTTGGGGGTTTTGAGAAGGCCTTGAATTCTGGTTTTTCATGAATGAGCATAATGCCTTTCAAGGACGTTTTTCATGAATGAGCAACACTTGATCTTCAAAAACTCGTCTCTTGCCTAGGTTGTGTGCTCGATGGGATTGCCGATGAATTCTGTATAGATTATATGGATGAACTCTTCAGGATAATGTGATTGTTGGATCTGGATCTGTCTGTATTCTCCAAGGCTCATGTACCAATCTCAGAGGCGGCCTTGAATTCTGGTTAGGAATCTCTTGATGACTGTGTTAATGTCATAGAATTGAAGTTCAACTGAACACCAGCTTAACATCTCTATGCTTCTGTCTCTCCATTGGGACGGTGGGATATCATCAAAGGTGAATTGTAGTTTTGAATCACCTTTTGGAGTCTTGGCTCTTCTAGGTGGTGTCGTCCTGGAGGCGGCATCTTCTGGGCCATTATCACTATCTGAATCATTTCGTACAGTGGATTCTGGCTCCGTCATAAACATATGTTCAAAGGCTTCAGCGGGATCAAAGGCATCTTCTTCATGTGGTACAGGGTTGATAATTAGAGCAATGATTATAGAATTTGGGTCATTTTAGCGTTAGGCTAATGATTGAAGGAATGTAGAAATGGGGTTTGGTTGGTTTATCGGGAAGACATTTGGGGGTTTTGAGGAGGTTGACATCGAAGTATCATCAGACATAGGTTTCGTGGTCGAGGTTACCACTGTCCTATTTGGAGCTTGAGATGATTCTGCAGAGAACCGGGAGGCTTTGGTCTTCAGTTATTGTTTTTTCTGAGGACCATAACGAAAGGGATGGGGAGTTCTGTCTAGGTGGTGGTGGAGGTAGTGGTTGTGGATCGAAAGATGTTCTGACAAAAGGTGTGGAGGGTAATATTCATGGATCATCAACTGAAGTTGATATCCTTTGTTGTTTGTGATGCCTTTCAAGATCAACAAGTTGGTTTTTAAGAACCTTCATTTCTGCTTCCTTTTGGATGAGGGTGGCTGATGGTTGGGAAGGAGGAATGTCACGAACTAACTGGAGTAGTTCGTTATGAAGTTCTTGCATCTTGATCTTGATCTCGTTGATCATTCCCTCAAGAGATTGAACTCTTGTAATGAGGATTTCTTGTGTCTTCATAGACTTCGTTTGTTGAGATAGGATTGTTCTCATAACTTGGTTTCGAACGACAACATTTTCACTTTGCCAAATGAGGGTGGCTTCAACAGCAGTGATGGAATCAGATATTCCTATAGAGCTTATGGTCATGGGTGATTTTATTTTCCAAAGGGCTTAGTAGGAGGAACTCAGCTTGGTATTCAGATGATGATGTTGTTGGGGTGATGACACAACATTCCTCTTGGGCTCGCTTTTGGGGACTTTTAGGGAGTAGATTATGACAAGTTTCATAGGTCATGATTGGAGATTTTCCACAGAGAACATAGTAGTTGAACTTTCCTGATGGTTCACCAAGAAGTCCTACCGTAGGATCTCCTGCTTCATATATCTTTTTTAGCAGTGACGAAATAAATAACAGTCCAATCACCTTTGAGACATACAAAATATTGACCAACACCAATCAAACATTTATGAATCATGTATAAAATTGCAATTTCCAAGTATTTTTTCACTAATTAAGATAACTGATTATGGAAAAGAAAATCAAATATCCTAATTTATTTTCTATTTTTCTATAACATTTTTTTATCTTAATAATCATCGATATTTTATCCAATTTTTCATTTTGAAATTATTGACGACTTTACAATCCACAAATCCAAATAAATCTCCTTTGCTAAAATCTTATATGTGCACACCAACAACAATGTTTTCCATTGGTTCATTTGTGAACATATAAATCCTAACATAGGTTCACATATGAATCTTAATCACTGCTTCTATTGATGATGAATCAACTGAAAGTGAATATGCTGCTGATAATGAAGGTTTTGATATTGTTAATGATAATTCTTATAATTCATCTTTTGATGATGATGATATTGGTCCTGACTCTAGAGTTCAAAATGTAATCACTCGGATTACTATTGAAGAAGGGGATATAAGGAGATCTGAGGGTGTTGAAGTAGAAAATGTTGAGAGTCTGAGAGCAAGGGAAGAAAAAACATGGTGAGAGTATGAAAGGGTTAACAAAAATAAAACATTATCCAAACTGTACATACTAGACGGGTAGCCATATATGCTACTAGATCACATTTGTTGGGATCTGGTATTGAACAACACATTATGGACCCAATAACGCATTTGCACACCCCACGTAGCTACTCAGGCCTCTATCAACCGATGTCTGTTTCTTTTGTCCACGGGGATTTAGCACATAATCTATCTCGCTCTCACTTGGAGGGTTTACATATTGGACAAGGCAGACAGCAACGCCTGTTGCCTACATCTTTTAGTGCACCATTGAGTCTAGAGCCATATACACTCATAGGAACACATACTATTGATGCTTTTGTAGCTCAAATTGTTAGTCTTTGTGACTCAACTGGAAAACCCGGGTGGAGCCTACTACAGGTTTTCTACGAGGATCAGGTGGAAGTTCAATGAGGATCATAACATAGAGTATAACTATATGATGAAAGCACAATGTCAATTGAGAAAATACGTGAAGATAAAGAAGAAGATTGTATCTGTAAAGAAGATATTTGCCAAGAAGTTCTATACTTTGTATTATTCTACATTCAAGGTCATAAGGCAAGATGGAAAGGGATGGATATTTACTAAGGAAGATTTCACTAATCTTGAGTTGGAGGACTTAGAATTTTTGTACCATGAGATGAGGCAAAGAACAATCAGACCTAAAGATGTAACTCTTGCACTGAATGCAATAAAAAGATTTATGAGAAGGTAGGCCAAGTAATTCTTGATTACTGATTTTCAAATTAGAGTTGAAAGAAACCAAAAGAAAGTCAATCTACTTCAGTCAGATCAGAGTTTGCCATATATAGACAATTTCCTTGTGTATATGATTCTTGAAGATCCAGAATTTGGGATTATATATCAGAATGCTATATTGAAGAAATGTTTTATGAGGTTCAAAGAAATTGAAAAGTATTCAGATCGCACCTTGAAGCTTATTCGACAGAAGTTGAACTTGAAGTTGAATGATGATGATAAAGCATAGGAAAAGATGGACAAGAGATACCAAGAGCTAATTGTAAGAGCAATTGAAGCTATTCAAGACAGATTGAATTTTAAGAATGATCTTAGTAATTTTTTCACAATTTTAGTAATGAGAAAGTTTATAACAATATAACCAACATACCTCCGCTTTTGACTCGTATGATGACTCACTACTGCTACATCTACCCGTCATAGCATAAGAGGGATCCTGGGTGGTCCCGAAACCAAATATGCGGCATTTCCTCCGTCTTCCGACACTTTGCTCCCAAAGAGATGCCTCATCGGGAGGAGGGATGTCGGTGCAGTGAGTGCGCTCAAACACCTCAGTAGAAGTCAGCTCACGACCCATTACTTTTGCCTACATTAGACAATTAGGTTAAGTTGTTAGTAAACATAAAGAACGAATTACATTTTCAAAAAAGATAATATACTCACCATCCTGTTGATAAGTGTTAATTTATTAACCTTATTACATCATTTTCTTAACCATTTTCCGTTGTTTTATTTGCCCATTAGTGTCCTAATTGAGTCTTTTTATATCTTTTTCATATATTAGTAGTTATATTGTATATCTTATGTTAATCCCCTGTTTTTGCAGGTTTTTGAGCATTTTTGGGACCGGTCCTGCAGCA